TGGTTCTCTGAACTGCTCAAAATGTCTGCTACCGGTTCTCCAGAACTGATCAGAACCTGCTAAATGCCACCTCTGTCTGAGAGGGAAGATAGAATAGAATGGGAGAGAGAGAGAGAGAGAGAGAGGTGGAGCCTGGGCCACCTTTCAGTCCTCAGATGGAGAGTTAACATTGCCCAGGTCTGATGGTGGCTGATGAAAAAATGGAGGAACAGCTGGGTCCAGTGCCTGACACGTGGATGCTCAGAAGGCAAAAGAAAGGAGATCAGTGGAAATCTAATGGCCGATCCTTGAGATGGAAGAGCCACCGATGCTAGCAAAGCCCCACTTTAGCTCTGGGGATAAAAGGCAGAGACAGAGATGAATAGATGTGGCAGACAACTATTCATCTCCCTGCCATACAAACTTATTAGCCTGCTTTGATAGAGAAACTTTTTTGCCAGGGCGTCTAGAACTCCTAATAAAGGAATCATTGATTTAAATACAGAGGGTTTGTGATGTTTGGAGAGCTAGGTCAGAACATATAGATATTTCTCTCCCTTTCTCTGGGAGCAAAGAGAAAATATCTGCACTGAGCTCTCCATAGGCATACGGAAGAGCATCTGGCCAGTAAATGCTGAGCTCCATTAAGTCACCTTGACTCCATCTCAAGGGATTACAAGGTTGTGAAAAAGAAAAAAAGGAGACACCAGAATAGAAGAAAAGGAACTGGCTAAGACAGCAAAATACAAACACCTGCAAATAGAAATAGAATATCTGAGACAAAAGAAATCAAAGATACCAACAACAACAACAACAACAATCATAATAGTAACGATAATAACAATAATAACAGTAGGTGCTTTGGGTGCAATCCCAAAATATCTGAAAATTCACTTAAACACCAATGGCATTGACTAATTCACCACCAGTCAATTGCAAAAGATAATTTTATTCAGAAAAGCTTACAATCTGCAATGATAAAAAACATTAAACATCCACATCTGCCATTCCCAGGCCCTTGGGAAAGATTTGATATGAGGGGGAAATTGCCAAGCCAGT